ATCAACAGATTATAGAAAACCGAAAGAAAACCTTTATTTTGGACCGCAAATATAACCTAACATGCGGATCATTATCAGACTATTTAAAGTTCTATGTGCAGAAATATGAAGGTGTGTGTTTGTCTGCAGGTCGTGTCTGAGGAAAGCTTCGGAGGTTTCCTGCTTGCTTCGCAGTGGTCACCTGACTGTGGCCCTGCAGGGTAAGTCACTGGACCCTGGTTCGTATTATTAATACATCCATCCATCCATTATTCACATCACCTCCTCATTAAAGCCACATTAGTAGCTGTTTAACAGGAACAACCACACTCCACTGGACCCGGACACACACAGCTCAGAGGTTTCCATACAAAAGGCTTTTAAGGCTGCGATCGCAGCTGTGAGATTACAGCTTCATCTTACTGGAGCAACTTATCGCTCAGAATTTACTTTAAACAGCGATTATTGTGGCTTCCTTTACCTTTTAAAACAACCACTGAACCATCAGGTTTACTAAACACAAACACCAATCTTTGGTTCTTTTATTGAAGTAAATCCAACTGCCAGGAGATGATTTATGAGGGGAAAATGAGATAGAAATATATCAAACAGAACTAATTTATTCCACTTAAATGTCTAGAAATACACATGAATACACCTGAAAAATGTGTTGCTGTAAAGAAAAGCTTTAAACACCAGCTGAGGCTTGTAAGGCTTCCTACTAATTAACTAAACTTAATTAGTTTTACTTTGTTTTCATCAAAACACCTGAGCTGCTTTGCTGAGCTTCAATAGCCCAGGCTTTAGAATTTTATTCCAATAATGGAACAAAATTCACTCCATACCGACTGTGTTTTCAATGGTGAGCTTTTCACATTAGATCCACTAGAATGCATGGAAACAGCATCTTCCTTCGAGGTTTTCCTTCTTTTGTAAAAAAAATAAATCCGGCCCTCTGATGTGACTTCAAGCTGAGCTCAACCAGCCCAGCTTTAGATTTACCGCTCTGTTCCAGGCTGGTTCATCTCCTCCAGGCCTGATAGATCCTGCAAACAGATGTGTGCTGCTGCAGCAATGATGAGCCATTTTCCCACATTAACGCTGTTTTTTTCCCAACCTGTCATCTCCCTGAAACTTTTAGTATTATTCATGGATGAAGCGTCACTTCTGCTCCGCTCTGAAGAACAAAGAAATGAGTCTATTTGGGTCACAGCTGTCTTTAAATGTCTTTTGTAACGAAGGAGTTTTCAAATAAGGCCCAATTAATCAATATTGATACGTCTTTCTGTCTTTCTTTCCTTCTTTCTGTCTTCATGTCTTTCTTCCTTTTTTTCTCTCTTTCGTTTTTTTTTCCGTACTTTTTTCTTTGTACTTCTTTCTTTGAATTTCGACTTAAATCTCAGAATTCTGACTTAAATCTCAGAATTCTGACTTA